CAGAGAATCTTAGATATCGTAGAAACACTTCACATGTTCGGGGAGATGTGTGTCTATGTGTGTAATAGCTAAATCGCTTTGCGATGGTAGAAGTGTAGAACTCCTCCGTACAAGTTTGTGCGCGTATAACTTGCTGCTTTTTTAATAGACTAAACGGAGCTAGGTACTGCGGGTCCAGGGGTTGGGAGTGACGACTTCTCCGCCCCTCTCCGCCCCTCTTTGCTTTTCAAAAAGCGCAGGTAGATGGAGAAGGGATAAAGAGCTAAACAATTAAATTAATCCTTGACAAATTAATAAATACTGCATCATGATTGAAACATGCTCTCTAATTCCTCGATATTACATTTCTTGTCGGTATTATTTATAACTTACTTTCTATGTGTTTTAAGCTCATTGCAGAGACAAACAGTTGGAGAAATAAATAATTAAAACATGTTTGGGAACGCCGTTTGAACCAGGAAACTTTCATCATCGAAACATATCACAAAACTGCGGAAACTTCGCCTTTCGCCTTTCATTCTCAAAGTGGCAATTTTTCCTTAATCATTCTTCCAGGAGACAGGAGACACCATTGCCCTTGTTCTTCTTCGAGAGATTACCCAAATTCGAAACGAAGGGCTTAGATATATATTCAAAAATAATTGTCCATTGTGCATCAAAAAGCACGCATTAAACATATGCTGTTTCATTTACTAATATTAATTAGTTAATAAAATTTTTAAAGAAACAACAATATGAATTTTTAGAAAAGTGGAAGAAAATAGAACGATGATTATTTCTTGAAACAACCCCACATAATCATAGGTAAGATTTTTTTTTCTACGATGGGAGGAAGAGCACATCAAAAGTATCACAGCCCCCCCCCTCACCCCGTACCCTCAACGCTAGCCCTTCAAGTTACGTTTCTGGGTTTGTTCTATGAATATAATTGACGAACAAAGCAGAGCGAGCAAAAAAGCTGGAACAAAATTAGAACCAAATCTAGCTTGAACGGTGATTAATTTCGACTAGAGACTTTTCAAGCCGGTTGCTGGCCCGGCGAGGCAGGGTGTTGCTTCAGTTACTAAACCGCACGAAAGCTATTAGGACGCCAAGACCGTGCGTCCGTCGGTTTCGTTCAGATCAATGATTAGAGCTTTGTCGGAGCTTTTGAGCAAGAGGAAGTTTCATTTGAATATAATGTAAAATCCGTTCAACTTCTGGTGCATTTTTCTCAGAAACTTCTAGAGCTACGAATATGAAATTTTGTAGGCATGCAAATATGACTGTTGGCTACAACTGAAACTAGAGATATGGAAATCTTTTCGCATGAAAGTTCACTGGAAAAAAAAACACATAGGATCTAGAGTTCAGACTCTTGAAAACATTGACAAGAAAAAATACTCTTGATTCAATCAGATTTTTGCTTAAATTAGAAGGAAATCAGCTCAAATTAAGAGGCTTAGTTCTTGATTCAAGCAAAAATCCGATTGAATCAAGGGTATTTTTTCCTGTCGATGTTTTTAAAAGTCTGGACTCTAGATCCGATGTGTTTTTTTCCAGTGTTCTTTTTTAATGGTGGAGAGTTCGGCAAATGTTTTTGCTATTTTACGGATCTAATTTTCTAGCATATAAAAAGGTAAAATGAATATATTTGTAACTCTAGTTCCAATTAGAGCCATATTTTCGACGAAAATTTTTAAAAAACCGTTGATGAAGATACCTAGAATTTTTAAAAAAACCGTTGATGAAGAGAGAATTTTTAATTGCCGAGGAACATGCACAAGAAAGTAAAAAACTCTTTGCGACCTAAAAGAAAAAACTCATCTGGCGGAGCCCTGTTCATTTTTGAACATTTATTACAATAAAAAGAATGATTTTCGAGAGTATACGATGCTGCACATTATTTTGATGTTAAAAATGTCGGCAGACAGAAAAAAAAGATAATTTTTATTTTCAGGACCTACTTCTTAACTGTAGGTTCGCAGCAAGAATACTCTCTTTTCTTTTTTCGTTGTTCCTTTGTTTTATTCTTACTCCATGACGGTTTACATACAGAAGAGTGCGTTACGTTCGATGACGCTAATTAAGTTCTTGTGCACGCGTTGTATCAAAACACAGGCACATGTTCCTAACGCAAAATTGAACGCCTTTTCGTGTAGTGCCAAAACACTTTCTGCCGTCCGACGCACAATGGATCGAGTCAATAGGAGAGGTCGGACACAATTTGGAAACTTTAAACGCTTATAACTCCGTTTATACAAAACTGTGAGGTTTTAAAAGTGGTTCTATTGGTTTTCTCGTGAAATGCGCTTCTTGAAGCGCCCCTGGAAATTTAAAATGTGATGAAATAAACATCAAAATTTGCAGTTTTAGTCAAAAATTTCATGTCCGGCGTCTATAATTGACTCGATCCACTGTGTTACGCACAGGAGACGAGTTATTAACGACTTTTCGACCCAAAACGGGATTTTGCAACGTTATTCAAAGATGACGGCAGTAGGTATGAAATGTATCTTTCAGCACACACGTAACACGAGCACAAAGTGCATTATTGTGCTCGTTTTACGTGTGTGCTAAAAGATACATTTCATACCTACCGGCGCAGCGGCTTCAGCCGCAAAAAGCGAGGGTGGTAGAGTTCAGATTAACATTCAGATTCAGCACTAAAAAGTACATAAGGAACACATGCCAGAGATTTTTCAGAATTTGCAAGGTAAAATTCTAATTTGACGGAAATACTAGTCATAGCGCCTGCTTGAAAAAAGAGAAAAAATTAAAATGGAAAATTAATTTCTCCTGAAAAGCGTCACAGATTTATTTGAAAGAAGGAAGGAATTAAAAAACCCGCGAACTGTCCAATTTTTTCCCCTTTCTTTTTTGTTTTCCCTTTTGTATTAGCACCTTTGTGGGTTTACAATTGTCTTAATTAAATGGTTTTTCGTAAAATACATTTTATGCTTAAAACGGTAGTACCTACCTACCTACAGTAAATCTAAATGACTGCAATGGCCAATGGAGGTTTTCGCACGAGGCAGAAGCAACTTATTATGACCGGCCTCATTGCGTATTTCATATCCCGAGTACAGTATAACGCTTGACAGCCAATATCTGAGCTCAGATTCGGACTCCTCGTTGAAAATCAGAGGGACTCCATTGATAACTCATTTCTCCTAAAAAGTATCAAAAATTCATCTGAACTAATGGAAGAAATTCTCATGCTACATTATGCGTTTTTCTACATATTAGGTTAAGCCTAATACGAAATTATTCAATCAAAATATATTTTCGACATTTTCTATTGATATTAGGTTGGGTGGAGAAAATTCAGATAACCAAACAAAGAAAACTGTCGCTTAATTTAAGTTCAAAAAAATGAAATATAAGTGGTAACTTGCAACGTCCCAATCGAAGAAACGCATTTTCCGATTTCAGCAACGATACTGCAATCCTAAATAACGAAAATGGACAACGGAGTTTTCGCACGAGGCCGGGTTAACTTATGACCGGCCTCAATGTGTATTTCTTATCCTGGAGATATTAAATCGCATGACAGCTAAAATCTGAGCTCAGATTCGGCTTCCTCGTTGAAAATCAGTGGGAATCCATGTATGAAACGTCAGAATCGCATGAGGGAAAAGGGTGTGTATTGGTTCCTCTACATTGACGTGGGTGGTCACTGGGTCAGGAGTGTAGGAAGCAGATAAGAGACATCAGTTCTCGGAAACGAAATCAAATTCTCTAGTCCCTGGCGCTTCCTTAAATTCCTCAGCGATTGCGGCGCGGCACAAAAGATTTGAGGGAGCACCAGACAGAGTGGCGACAGGTGACGCGCGAGGCCTTCGATGAAATGTGCGGGAGGGGAGGGGAGGGGAGGGTAGAGTCCCTTAATACTGAGAGTCAAGACAATTTGAATCCATTTCTGATTGGTTCCCGTATTTTAGGCCTCCACAGTGTCACAAACGGGAATAAAGATTACATTTTCACCAATTGCAAAGATTATAATCTGGAATGGACCAGGGAATTACGGGTTCGGCAAGGAACAAACGGAATGAGAGGAGGAACGGAGAAAGGCATTTGAGAATGGGCCGATCAAAGATTACGAAAAACGTTCAATTTCTGTAATCTTTATTTCCGTTTGTGACATCCATGAGCCGAATTGTCTTGACTCTCAGCATAAAGGGACTCTAGGGGAGGGGAGGCGCGAGTTGTGGTTCACTGCTGTGCCAACAGAGAGCGTTGGAAACGCGAGTGCATAATTTCATATGAGGTCTAGCTTATAGTTGATTGTACAAATACTTAACTTCTGAAATATTTTCCCATGCTTAGCGCATTATCTCTGATGCTGTTCAGCCCCCCTTGAGGTGGATCTTCAGTTTTTTTGTTCAGAAATTTCTCCGCCCAGGGGTCGCCACCGTCGATGTCCGTTTTCGTCAAATTTCTGCGGTCAAAGCTGAATTTTGAAAAATCTGAGCCTATATTTCAAAATCGGAAAATTTCAGTCTGTAGATAAGAGTATTGTGAATATTTTGAGCCTTTGATCGTCAAAATGCATGGCGTTGTGGTTGAGAAAGTACTGTTTCCCCACAAGAAATCTCCGCAGTCCGCCGACGATCCTCTCAGTTGACGGTAAATTTTAAGAATTAGAACACTTAATTTCAAAATCCAAGGATTTCAGTCTGTAGATTAGACTCTTCTTTCATTCAAGCCCAAAAACTTGCAATTCTATCGCGAATCGACGGAGACAGTACTGTATCCGACTAGCCGGTTGGTGACTTGAAAATGACACTTTTCTCGCGCGGGGTCCTGTAGACCCCAAAGCCACTTTACCCCCTCCACTGACCCCCCTCTTTGCTAAGCTGTTTTCAAAATCATAGCTGTGTTTAGCCTGTACCTTTGAAGTGCGTGAGTTTTAGTAATGTCTACTCTAAATGTAAATACTCTGAAAAACATTGTTACAACTTTCTCCCCCGCCGACTCTCATTCAACTGCAGCCAATAAAGGATGAGCATGGGTTCAAGATGGGAATTAGCTACCGCCAAAGTGACCAATCACAGTGTTTCATGCGTCCATACCGCATTGACCACCGGCCACCGCTCCGGTAGCAATAGCTGCTCTAAAAATAACACATTGCAGCTGTGATACTATTTTATTCAAGTTTGAATATCAGTAGAACTCAGTTCCCAGGTTTATCGATATGAACTGTGTTTTTGGGTTGTTCAAATGACTATCCAGCTGGTATTTTTTAAGAATTATTTAATTATTTCAACGTAGTAAATGCCGCGCTCTTTAAAATTTGATTCAATTTAGTGAAAACAATTTCATTTTGATAATTTTTCCCTAACAGTAAATTGACAAACGTAGATTCGGTTCATAAAAGCAGCTGGAAAAATTTTGCGGCCAGGGCTTATTTGCCCTTCTCAGGGATTCTACTGATATTGAGTGACTACATTCGAAACACCACTTTTCTGCGGGACCACCTGCTTTCGGGGGAAGGGGAGGCGACCCCCCCCCCCCCCCCCCCCCGACCTCCTTCCCTACGTCCATGATTCAGTTTGTTAGACAATACTTTACTGCTTAAATTGTTTTTGTTCCTTGAAAAAAATTAAAACTTAATTCAATTATCTCTTTGACTTCATTTTACAGGAGACGACCCCCTTATTCTGTTTGCTCTAATCGAATGGATAAGTCCTTCCTCGTCTAAAAAACGAAAACCTCCACTCTGTTTAGCCGAAGATACGACTGCACTGACTCGCTGCGCGTCCCAAGGCTTCAACTACACTCGTGCATACAGCCAGGTGTTTCAGCGATACACCTTTTCAGCTTCCTGCGGCCCTAATCCACCGTTTTCACTTGCGTTGCGGGTTGTCACCTCCGTAAGTTGGGTGAGGTGTAAACGCGCATGAACCGCATGAACGTATCGGCTGAACATGCCCCTGCAAAGTTCGAGGATACCTCTTTAAGTGTCCCTACCGTGAGGAACTCTCCACACGGGATCGCGTTCCGCTGAGAGCACCTGTCTTGTCCGAGAAAGATGATCGTTTCCTTGAGAGTGCTCATTGATAAAGTGTAGGTAATTACTATAGATTACTCTCGCCAAATGCTAAATCTTTAGGATTCTACGGAAGAAACTATTTTAATCGTGAAATAAGTGGATGATAAGTATAACAGAGGTGTTAACGTTCTTTGAATTAAAATTTCTAATGATTACAGCTGATTTTTTAGAAATTCTGTGAATAACAATGTAAAATATGAAAATCCTACAAAAATAAAAAAAAAATCTTAAAAATATAATTACTATTATTAAAAGAATTGTTATATTAAATTCCCAACTGATTTCATATGAAATTAACATAATTATAATTTTAATTACTGTAATGATAATTACAGAACAAATAAACTTCATTATAATAAAGAAAATTCAAAAATATGTGTATGTTTTGATAATTTTATTTCCTTTAGTGCTAATCTGAATAATCACAATTTTAGCAGAAACTAATCAGACCCCCTTCGATTTTTCAGAGGGAGAATCAGAATTAATTTCAGGATTTAATATTGAGTATAGAGGAACTAGATTTATAATGCTTTTCCTTTCAGAATATTGTAGTATTTTAATTATGAGATCGTTAACTATTTTTATATTTACAAACCTAGAATCTACTAGTGCAAGATTTTATGTTAGATATTTGATTATATGCTTTATCTTTGTGTGAACCCGGACAACCTTACCTCGATTTCGGTACGACAAGCTTATAAAGTTAAACTGAACCCAAATTCTTCCATTAACAACCCTTATTCTGTTCATCTCCTTCCCGATGCATCATTGGTGAATAGTTATGACGGATGACTGGTTAATTTTAAGTGAGAATGTAGATTATGAATGTAAGTTTAGTACCCAACTCGAAAATTCAGTCCCAAACTTTATATTTCACGCGTTCCGTGTAGCTCTCTACTTATTTCGAGGATTTACTCAGGTGCCTATCATGAAAATTTCACTAATTTTTTTTTCAACTCAGACGTACCGGTCACAACATTAATAGTTTTATTAAATTTTCCACGAGGGATGGAACTAAAATCCTGGTTCAACCGCGCCGCCGAAAATTTGGAAATACCAGTGTTTAGGACGATTTTGGTCATTTTTTGGGGACCTGAACAAGAAAATTGGGGACTTTCGGGGATATCGGGGACATTCTTCCAAAATTGAGGATAATCAGGGACTGTTGGGGACCGATAGACACCCTGTACGTGTTTCTCAACCAGAATTGCACGTAGAACATGATTTATACATAGAAAATTACTAAAATCAACTCCTGACTAAAATGTAAACGTTTTAATATAACGTTGGTTACCGGAATTTGAATAGCCCGGTCAAAAGAGAAGTAATACTCTACCGGCTAGGTCAAATTGCGCACTAAATAGGCTTTGGCAGGCTCCTCAATCGAGTAGTGTTCTCCCCCCACCCTGATGTTTAAAGTGTAAACAACGTGCAACAACTGAATCGAATCGCCAAGATTCATTTGTTATATTGTCAGACTGCGGAGACTTTTCCGTCAACGTTTACTGGGAGATAAAATTCAAAGCTCAGGAGCAAACTTCTTAACATCCTTTTTTCAAGGCTGAGAGTAATTTACATGTTATGTATACCTATGAAATGTTTGAATCATCCAAAACTCTGCTTCGATTGGTAAAATGGGTATTCGTGCGTCATATTTGACAACTTTGGGTGTTGCTCTAGGGCTTTCGGTTAAACATCGGGGTTGATCAATTGGTTTTTGGTAAATTTAATCTCCTTTTTTGTTTCTCTTTCCCTTACTTCCTTAGATATCCATCGAATCTGTATTCCGAACCGCATTCAGTATCAAGTCCGCTATGAAAGCTGTAAACGGCATGAAGTAAGGCCTTTCCTTAAAAATGAGTAAAAAAAATAGCTCTCTTGAAATCTGAAGACTTAAAATTTTTTGGTGAGCTACATAGGTAACCAACGTGCTAATTTTACAAACGTCAAGCTCCACCTTCGATCACTTTCCTCCCTTAAATGATCTTTACTTAAAAGTTCACAGCTACTGCAGGCGTTCAACCCGTAGGGATGAGCCACTGAAAATCTAATATTAATATAGGTCAATTATGAAGTTAAATAACCCCTTTGTACGGAAAGTATCAAAAAACGCTGGGTTTGAGAAAAGTTCTATTACACGAAATTAGTTAAAAATGAGAGGGAGATTAAGCTTCCCTCAGAGAAATTTTCTCCCTTTAATATCATTCTTTTTTTTGTTTTCTTTAGACCCTGAGTATATCTAGGCTTTGATAATTTGCAAAACTTGACGCAAAATTGTGATAAAATAAATAGTGCACAAGCTTACGATATTGCCTCCTAATACTCTCCTCCGTACGACAGCCCAAACGTATGTCCTAAATGACTCGTTCATTGACCGTTATACAGTTAGAATTATTGAAAAGCAATTGTCAGTAAATTTTGCATAAAATATTGGGACAGGAAAAACTATAATTCTTGAATCAGTCAACTACAAGTAATCTAACACACTTATTTCATGTTTTAATCGTCCGAAAAATCGAGCAAGACAACGGCTGCGTGACTGTCAGGAGGTCTCGTGAAACGTTCGTGCACAGAAACGCCTTCATCTGAGAGAATAGGCAAAACGATTACTTAAGAGCTCGAATAGTGGTATCTCACGAATTGACCGTGACGAGCTTATTCAGCGCTGGGACTAACTAAACAGATACAATTCCAGTTACTGATAATATTAAAAATGGCATGCTTTTTATCCACGAGTAAATGGCTCGAGTGTAATACGTACCTAAATAATATGAATACTGTAAAAAAAAAAAAAAAAAAAAAAAAAAAAAAAAAAAAATCCTCAGGCATACTTTGACCGATTTGTTGTTTTACTTTCTCCCCCCTTGCGGTTTTCCTTTCATAGAGTGCCCAACTGCCCATGCATGTATATAAAAATTGCGTGTTGGACAAATATGACACCCAAGAGGTTGATACAATGACACAGCCCTGATTCTCTCCATGTACCTCCCTAAACAAAAAAATATCAACCTGGATCAGAAAAAATCATAACAGTTCTTAAAAAAATTTTAGACGGCTTCTAGAGAATTTTAAATGGCTCTTGAAATTGAGGCTCTACAGGATTTTTAAAACAGCCAACCTTGGAGAGGTAAAGCTCCATCGAGCTAGTCGGGTATTTTAGCCGTGGTCTTTGGAGGCATGATCTGAATTAACTCCTGCATTACCCGTTATCAAACTTCTGTCATGTGACTATCATGGCGGTTCAAATCGTTGTGATCAAGAAATTAACAGGAAGATGATGAAAAAAATTGAGATTACTCAACGCTTAGCAGCCTGTATAGCAGCATCTTATGAAGGCGCTGGGTTGATGATTTGAACAGTCATCGGGTAATAATCAGTGAGACAGCAAGTTCTCAAAAACAATCGTTGAACTTTCAACATACCCATCATCGGTTAATCATCACTGAGACCTGATACCTCCGAGGAATAACGCATATTTTGTTTATACATCCAATCTGATACTCCTTATACTTGCACACAACAACTGAAACATTTTTGTATGAATTTTTTATCGCCCACGTTTGAAGAATGAATAGGAATTGCCTATGAAAGTGAAATACTTGGCAACCCTATCCTATAGCCCCCTCCAGGTACTCAAACTGGAGCGTCACTCTGGAAAAAAAAGTACATTTATCTTGGATTCCGAGTCCTGACTCTTAAACAAATTGGCATGAAAAAATACAATGTTAATTCAATCGGATTTTTGCTGGAATCAAAATGGGAATTCGCTCAAGTTAAGAGGCTTGGCTCTCAATTCAAGCTAAAGTCCGATTGAATCAAGAATATTTTTTCTTGTCAAATTTTTCATGAGCCCGGACTCTGGATCCAAGAGACGTTTTTATCCAGTCCAGTCTAGAGATATTGAGGCGGATATTGACTATTGAAAATAATGAAGGTAATAAAAAATGTGTGAATGGCTTAGTTTTCGGTCAGAGCTGATTCAGGGTTGATGATCAAAAGTCATCAGCTCGCGTACCTTCGAGTTCAACGGTCAACACCCAAGATGGGTGAAGAAAGGAGATCGCATTTGAGGGGCTTGGAGGACAATGCACAGACCTATGTGCATTCTTCGAAGAAATTGAAATATTCATGAACGCAACTAAAGCTAGTTTGAAAATATATTCCGTGAAAAATTCACAAGTAAAATCCAACCTTAAAGCATCAAAAAGTGAGCTTAAACTCCCTTTCTGCCAAAAAGCTCCGTTTATTTATGAAACTTTACACAAGTATTTCTTGAAATAGGAAAAACTGCACTTTCGCGCCTTGTTCTCCAAGCCCCTAATTTCGAGTCGTTGAGTACGATGCTGACGCGCAGAGGGTAACATACTTTGCCGTGCAATCACGATGTACCCGGAATGTACCCGAAATGTACCCGGAATGTACCCGAAATGTACCCGATACCGTATGACGTTAAGAAAGCACGAGATTTGACCACCACTAGGCATACCTAGAGTCCCTTTATACTGAGAGTAAAGACAATTCGGCTCATGGATGTCACAAACGGGAATAAGATTAGAGAAATTGAACGTTTTTCGTAATCTTTGATCGGCCCATTCTCAAATGCCTTTCTCCGTTCCTCCTCTCATTCCGTTTGTTCCTTGCCGAACCCGTAATTCCCTGGTCCATTCCAGATTATAATCTTTGCAATTGGTGAAAATGTAATCTTTATTCCCGTTTGTGACACTGTGGAGGCCTAAAATACGGGAACCAATCAGAAATGGATTCAAATTGTCTTGACTCTCAGTATAAAGGGACTCTACCCGGAATGTACCCGAAATGTACCCGGAATGTACCCGAAATGTACCCGATACCGTATGACGTTAAGAAAGCACGAGATTTGACCACCACTAGGCATACCTCTTGGACAAAACCCGCATCATCACCACCAGACTGACGCTCCAGTCAAAGGTTAATCTTCAGCTGTAGTTCCGAAAAAATCCACCACGTCGCGCTGCTAAAATCCGACTCCGAAATCAGTGATTATTTAAATATCACAATAGGTATCTTAAATTCTAAGACTCATAAGTTCTAGCAGCATACGTCTGGAATCCTTAGAAACAAACGCGAGCTTTGAAAGTCTAATAATAAAAGCTGTAAATTGATCCCAGTTTCTCTTACGGGATATCTGTAAGTGCGAGAGAGACAGCTCACGGTGGGAGAGAGATATCTGCCAACTGCTGAGAGCGATCAAGCGCGATTGGTTGCATCAAGGTCATCATGCTTAACCCTACTTTTTTCTGGGATCAAATTGCAGAGCTTCAGAAATGACTTTTCACGTTGTTTTTAGGGTCAATAGGAAGAAGAATGTTATGGCTAGAACTTATAACTCTTCGATCTAAACAGAAATTCCTTCAACTTTTATAAAAGCTCAAGGACTCACGTGGAGCTGTACGGACTCTAAAACACAGCGGTGGCGCCCCCTGCGCGGAGAAATTTCTTACTTCACGCAGCTGTAGATAAACCTCAGTAGGTAGCAAATATATGTCTTAGCACACCTGCATCTTGCACTTTGTGCTTATTATGAGCACAAACTGCATCTTGCACTTTGTGCTTATTATGAGCACAATTATTTATTATTATGTGCTCATAATAAGCACAAAGTGCAAGATGCAGGTGTGCTAAGACATATATTTGCTACCTACTAACCTTAAGCGTCTGAAATGGGCTGTTCCCGCTCTAGGAACAGGGACCGAGACGATGCAGGTCCGAGGTGCGGGTAAATATGAATTTAGAAAT